ACCCAAGGACTGATCACAATACTTGAAAATTGGACCATTAATTTAAAAGTCTGAGTGCAAATTGTTGAACCCCATCCTTAAGCTTCTGTTTTATAAAGGATCTGTTGGATCTCACAACTGACCTCAGTGTTGTGCTCTAATAGACCACATAAACTTAGTGTGGATAAATATGTAAAACAATCTAAAATCATCTTCCTCAAGTTTATTAAATTCCTGCCAATCCCAGGGTGGGGTCTTTGTTCATGCTGGAAAGTTGCAACAATATAGGTACAACTGATGTTATTTTAGCTTGGATCTATCTTGAGCTAAGGCTAAGCCTAAGGTAGACACGCTCAAATCGATTGTAATGTTGCCTGTGTCAATTTAGCTAATTTAAATGTACATGCATTAGCAGATTGCATTGGTTCAACCAGATTGATCTTTAAATTGCTTTGTCTAAAGTTGTGCCTTCTCTAGGGGAGACAAGGAGTGTATTTGGAGCAGTGGGCTGCCACAACTGTTTACCTTTCTCTGCCTGTCAGTTCTTCAGAGCACTGCTCCAATCACTCAGTGTCTATGTAGCTATCAGTATAGCTGCTTATCAACTGATTCTCATAAAGCTGTGCTAGAATTCCCTGAACTTCCCCAGAAGGAAAGCCATTAAGTTACACACATTATTGTTTCAATTCTACTGAGATCAGTTAAATTTTACTAGGCATAAATGTGGACCACATCCGATATAAATCATTGTCAACATATGATTTTTACAGTCAGAACTTAGGCAAATAAATCAGTGATGACTTTTGAGTGTTTGAAATTCTTTCTGCTCCTGTACAGCTGCCCCTATAAGCTCCAAGGAAGAGTGACAAGCAAACATAAATCCATTTTAAATTGCATGTCCTCTCCCTACCAGCTTTCAGAGCATTGTAATCTCACCTTCATTCCAGTGGGGTAAAAAACAGGTACAGACAATAAGCATGAGATAATGAACTTCTCTTACTTTGCCTGATTGTAATAAATGAGGTTATTTTCCCCCCTGACTCTTGGAATTAGATGTGACACAACACCTTAACACAATCAGCTTGTTCTGAAACCCTGATAATGGGAACCCATCTGCTTAGAGACATAAAGGAGAATTCATTATATGCCCCGTAATTACTTTCAACGCAACATAAAGAGATTGCGCGCACTGCTTCTTAGAGTTAAATATGCTGTCAGAAAGAATACCTTTCTGTGTAGGAATAAGAGGGATTCAAAAAGGTTATGGCTAATAATGACATTTAAAGTTTTTCACAGAAAAAAAGAAAAGAAGAAGTATATTGTGCCTTATCTTCCTCAGTACTAACTTCAGAGAAAACCAAAATCTCTGCACAGCATTTCCAAAAAGCTGCTCCTGAATACATCAGCTGTGGGCAATTCTTTTCTATATCTGGCTGTATTATGATGGACAATAACTTGTATAAAGTGCACATTTTCCTGCAAAAGAAGGAAGGATAAAATGACAGATTTTGAGATCCATGTTTGATGCCTAATCCTTGCGGCTTCCTCCCAAAGCTGGCAAAGCCTCAAAGTCCCATGTCAGGAAGGAGATTTTGTACATGATTGAACACCAAGTGTTAAGGCCACATAAAGAATGGTACTGTCAGGCTCTGGAGTAAAATTTCTTTTTTTCTTAATAGAACAGGACCTTGAGGGATAAAGTGAAATGAGCTAGATCTACTATTCTGAAACAGGTGACTGGAATTTAATCTGGGAGGGGCAGGAAAGAGCAAAAATAACAATTCTTTGTTCTTTCTGACATACCATCCAGATATCTTTACTAATTGCATTTCTTCTTGTGGTTTTAGTAATAAAATTTATACAAATATTTACAGTGGATGAAAGTATCTTTGTCTAAATGTCACTTATTAATTGTGTTTTATCCTTTGAATGGTACTGTTTAAATACTTTTTTGATTGTATTTTCACTTTATGAGCTGAAGTTCTCCAATGTTTTTTCCTACTTCCATTTATTTATTTATATATTTCAACCTAATGAAACATGGCATGCTAAGAGGCTATTATTTTTGCAAATCAGTCTGCGTCTTAAACTGCCTAACTCTTCCTTTCAGCCAGACATGAGGTTGCTAAGACAATTAACATGCCTGAGGTTGATAATAGGCATAAGCAATTTGCCAGATCAGACCTTATGTATGAGATCATGCCAATAAATTTGAGATACTCATCTTTGTCTTGGCTCTTTACATCTAAGGCTTTCAAGCTGAGTGAAAGTAAGAATATTCTGGATACAATGCTGAAATGATTTGCTGAAGGATCCTGTATCAGATAGATTTTCCAAAAAATAATTTATTCTAAACATTATTAAATATCACCCTCTTGAAGGATTTACCTCTAGGCCATATGTGAAATATGACTATTTGGCCTTAATGGACATTTTTCTCTATTTTTCAATTGTACAGTGAAAGCTTTCACATTTAATGTAGTTAAATAAATGACATTTTAAAAACAATGACATTAATGATAGATTCTTGACAAAACTACAAGTATAGTTCTGTCTTCTGAGTTTGATGGTAAAGCTGCCACTGTCTTCCATGTGGCCAAGATTTTGCACTCAGAGTCGTTAAATTCTGCACTTAAAGATTCCTCTTACATTTACATTTTTTATTGTCTAGAGGATGATAGAATTTTCACAGGAGTTGGTAGAAAGCTGATTTGTGCTTAAATGTGTCATGAGCAAAACTTGGACAATTACTTTGTTCAAGTAATCTAGGACTTCCCACTGGCAATACAGCTGTCTCCTAAAGTTTGGCCAAGAATGGTGACCACTCCGATACAAAAGTGCCCAGGGATTTGCTGGAAGGCTCCCAGAATTCAACAGATTCCTTCTGTGGCTCTTCTGTGCACTTCCCCATCCCCAGCCCTGGCCCTGTCCACCCACTTCCCCCTTGCTGCCTTTGCACATGCCTCTGCCCACTCCACGTGCCTTCCCCAGATTCCTTCACATTTGAAAGACAAGTGCACAGTGAAGGGGTGCAGATTTCCACACATTTTGGGAGAGGAGGCATGTTACTGATAGCTTGAAAAGTTCAGACCTATCCAGGCCAGAGGTCTGACTTTATAGTGTACTTTACAGGATTCCTGGAGGCAATTACGAGTTTAGCTGAAATATTTGCTTAGCCTTAAATGCTGCATGCATAAACTATTTATAAGTAGTAACACTGAACTCAGTATTTTTTTCAAATTCTTTCAAGAAATTCAGTCAGGCATATGCTTGAAGGCAACTTCCTACATTAATTGCTGCTTTTTAATGCTGTTTCTTTTAAGATAAGCCCTGTGAGTTTGTACACTGTCAGCCTGTGTTGTCTGTTCTGCTGCTAAACACAATTGAAGAAAACTTATTAACAGACAAATATGTTTCTAATATTAGCTGATATCAGCTGTCTAGTTTGTCAGTCAGAAAGAATGATGGATGGCCACAGGGGGCTATCAGAGATAATGGGTATGCAAACCATACTGCCATCTAATACTATTAAGTTTTATCACACAGATTTCAGCATAAAAACTTACCATTATAGTTTCTATATGTCAAATAAAAAATCTTGAAATATTACCTCTCTCACTAAGTATTTTTGCCTCTCTACCAGAGGCAGTATATAAGGTCCAAAAAACACTGTGTTTGAAAATATTGCTGTCCAAAGCACAAAAGTTGTCTAAAGGTAATAGATGGGCGACAGTTCTCGTTTTTAGAATGGACTGCTAAAACATAACAGAAAAACAAGACAGTAACTCATTTTGGCTGTGTATATGGATTCTTTAAATGACATCACTGGTATTACGTGTTTCAGTTAAATCTCTAATGCAGTTTTCTTCCTTCTTCTGTGGCCTATATCAGTATGAGTGAAAGAAAGGAAAGAAGGGACCAAAGCAAGAAATCATTCAATATATTTGTTACTTGTACGATATCTCCATCTCAAAGGAAAGTTCCAATTAAAAAAAAATCCTCATGTTATTTTATTGTGAGCTTATACATCCATGACAGATAATTGCTGGCTCAGCTGCCCAGAGAAGCTGTGGTGCCCCATCCCCGGAGGCGCTCAAGGCCAGGTTGGATGGTGCCCTGGGCAGCTGAGCTGGTGGGAGGCAGCCCTGCCCATGGCAGGGTATGGGAACTAGATAATCTTTAAGGTCCCTTCCAACCCAAACCATTCTATTTCTCTATGATTTCTATGAGTCATGAAAAGGTAGCATTTCAAAACCGAAGTGTCTTCTGATGCAGAATCTGCCTTACAAAGATTTCTTCAAATTTTAGAGAACAAATTCAGATTGCAAACTCCAGTGAGGTCCCATTCCACAGTTCTGCCAGTTCTTTTTGTGCTCAATTTGAATGTCTCAAGAAATTCTTCCCATTCAAGCACAGACCTGTCAGAGACTTTTAGATTATCATTATCTTCAGCTCTAACAGCAGGCCACAAAGCACATAACAGAATTAGATTTTGTTTTGTCTCATGTTGTCACATAACCTGACACATCAACGTGAGTACATCTCACTTAATTTACCCTTCACTGTTTTTTAGAATGGCTATTAGCAGGAAGTTAATATCTATATCCCTATTTTGTTCTTGAAACACTTCCTTTCTGTCCCTGTAGTTCTGCCAGTCTGGCAATATACAACCCCTTAGTATATACCTTTTCAGTTTTCAATCAGTTTCTGATACTTTGGTCCTTGATAAAAAAGTCTGGAATTTGGTTTCTTCAGTCCTTAAAATTTCATCAGATATTAGTTTTGAAGTCTACAAGTTTTTTGGCCTATGGAAAATGTGTCATGTGTAGCTGTAATGCTGTTATCACCATCAATCATCAGGAGTAATCTGAGAAAATCGATCTCTTTATTATTTTAGAAATGCTGTAATCAAAGTGGATAATATTATAAAATTCTTTAAGATCCCATGCAATCTTTTCAAAAAATACATCCGAAGATACCCATTAGGGGAATTATGAACTCAAACTCTTTGACTACCCTACCTGTAGACCAGCGCTCTCCTTGAACCCAGTAGTTTTGTCCATTTGTGTTGGATGTGCCTCTGATGTGTTTACCTACAAATGCAATAATGTTGACAGAAGTTGCAGCATTAATGCATGATCTTCATTTTTCAAAAGAACCAGTATCTTTTCCCCCTCTGTGCAAGTATATGCAGAGATTTTTGAACAGAGGGTACATGTTCTGTTTTCAATAATACTTTAAGATTCATTTCAGTATTATCCAGTTCATAAGTCTAACTACTGATTTCATAAATATAAAGAAGGGATAGGTAATAATACCTAGTAATTACGAGTTAACCCTGTTGAGAAATACAAAGCAAAGAGAGCTATATCATACACTGCCAGCAGTATCAGTGATAGTTTTGCATTCTGGGAGGAGGGACAGAAATACAAAAAGGTCAAAGACTAAATCACGGGGTTGCAGAGGGAGGTCACATGGGTTGCAAGGATTTGCTGCTTTCACAAAGGACACTGCAATCAGTAATCTGCTGTCATGCAGCATGTACTGCTCTTTAAGCAAGTCTGACACTGATGTATGAAAGGCACTCTGAGCAGGGAGATAAAAAGACAGTAACTACAAACATGAAAAGTACACAAGCTGTGATGTGATTAAAATAGCATTAACACCCAGACCTTACCCAAAACATAGAAAAAATATGGAAAAAAACAAAAACAAAACCATTGTATCACACTATGGATGGCATGCCATAGATAGAGATGTATGGAAGATGCAAGAGACAATGGGCTTAAATTATTAAATTACTACAATACAATTTGAATGAAATATCACTGAAAACAAGGAGCAGCAGAGAACATCACCAGGCGATGTAGACCTGAATGGGCATCCACACCCACACATTTAATTTGTCCATGAATTTAAATAGTTTGTCTCCTGCTAGTCATGTCCAGCAAGCAAAGTTAGATCTATTGTTAGTAATGATATCTGAATAAGTAAACCTAAATCAGTGTGAAACCTCAGATTTGCAACTCCTCTGCTGAACTAGAAATGATGTGGGTTCACATGTTTGAATCCCATATGGACAGTTAGATCAACCATAAGAGCTCATGCTGCTCCATTCCTCCCCAGCACTAATTGCATTTTCTAATTAAATATCAGTGATGGGATAGGGGGACTCTGCATACTACCTCCCCAGATTCATTCTTTGAGTCTTAATCCAAGCAGGCTTTTATTCTATTCGAGTAGCTCTCTTTTTATTTCGAAGGCATAAGTACTTATCTAAAACGGATTCATCTGCCTGGATGAAGCCCTTCATTTAAACACTGAGCTATCTGGACATAAATATGTTAAATAAAAATATAAATAAGTTACCTCCTTTTTCTTTTAGCTCCTTGAATACGAAATATTCCTACAGACACTTGCTCAGACTCAGACTGTTGACACATCACTCTACCATGTGTCACACCAATGTCTCGCAATGTTGCTATGACTCTTGTCAGAAGTATGACATGGCACATGCAGCTGAGTGGCAATGGTCGATTTCAAGAGCTGTAGATTTGCAGCCTTTGAGAGGGGAATCTGAAGGCAATTTCTCTTCATTTGTGTAAATGTAAAGAAAAAAAAGAATTTCAGAAAACGTGCACAGCATGCTGAGTTTATGTGTAAAAATATTAAGTAGCACACTGAGCAGCGAGCCTGACCCTATACAAGTCAGGGTAGGACTCCCACTGGCAGGATGAGGGGAATATTTCCCCCAAAATCTCTGCGACCAAAGCTAGCTTGGTTTCCATCCCTTTTCTCTTTCTTTGTGGTGGTAAATTTCCAAACTTCACAAGTCCCTACAGGTATTTTAAGCTGGGTTGCAAACTTGGAAATCAGAGTAACTAGCTCCCTATTCTTAGCCTTCAGAAGCATGGCTGCCTCTATTCTCAAGTCAGACACGTTCATGGCTTAATGCTCCCAGTCAAGGAGTGACATGTCTCATTCTTACAGCTGCATAGGCAGACAAAATGAAAGAGTCTAAATTGCAACAAAGATTTTGGTGGGAAGGGGGTCTCTTTCTCTCTCTCATTGCCTCAATAAAAAGGATGCCTGCACCTATTCTGCCCTTAAGAGTAATTGAGTTAAAACAATCTCACTCACTTCTATTCCCTCTTTTGTGAGCCATATCAGATGCTCTCAGGCATTTGATGCTGAGAAATGCACTTTGCACGGTTACTCAGCAGCACTCCAAATCTGTAACAATGCCAGGCTGTAGCTGGGTGAAATCTGAAGCTGAATGTTTCAAGGGACCATTATTACTAATGGGCTCTTTTATTAGAAACTTTGAAATCAAATAAAATTGGTTGGAATTTAAAGTGCAAGGAAGAGAGGCATTGAAGTTTGTGAGCATCATTAAAGAATAATATTACACTTTTATGAGACACTTTGGTCAGGTTACAGCTCATCACAGAGCAGGCAGTGAGGATTTTCAAAATCAGACAAGTATCTTAGAAACACAACGTAGGCTTCCAAGCTGAAATACTGCTTCAGCAGTCTGATGTAAAGTATCTGGTGAAAAAATGCTGCTCTCCTATGTGTTTGTCTTGCTGCTAAGTGACAGAAGAAGACATAAAAGTCTTGGAACAGAATCCAGTTATCCTGCATTATATCTTGCAATGTTCATATGCCAGTATCTACATTATCCCCATGCTAAGAAACTCCATCTAAGAATATGGCCTCCAACACTACACAAGCATCAACGAGGAAATATTTCTCCAGAAAAACAATAAAGAACCAAAACTATAATAAACGATAAAAATGATAAATGCCAGTGCATTCACTTTCACAAGGTGCCAGTCCCAAAAATCTGATGAAGTTCAGGACTTAGAACTTCTAACCTGCGTAAATTTTTTTTTTATTTAAAAATAGTGTATCCAGGTGACATAGCTCATACTTTCATGGAAGCAGAAAGTAGCAGAAGGATTTATACTTAATGTAAAAGGGCATAATGGGTAGCAAGGCAGTGGTAAAGCAGGTCCATACTAGAATAAGAAGCAGAACTCAATTTTCTGGCTCGTCCTCAGCTATCTGTCCAATGCAGCCATGTGAGAAAGACAGGTTGGCATCAGAATCACAGAATCACAGAATCACAGAATGGCCCGGGTTGGAAGGGACCTCAAGGATCATGAATCTCCAACCCCCCTGCCACATGCAGGGCCACCAACCTCCACATTTAATACTAGACCAGGCTGCCCAGGGCCACGTCAACCTGGCCTTGAACACCTCCAGGGATGGGGCATCCACAACCTCTCTGGGCAGCCTGTGCCAGCACCTCACCACTCTCATAGTAAAGAACTTCCCCCTGACATCCAACCTAAATCTTCCCTCCCTCAACATAAAACCATTTCCCCTTGTCCTGCAATGTGCAGAGTTCACTTCAGAGAGCTTAAAGAGTTTGGGATATATTAACACTGAAAGTTACATTACTCCGCATATTTTTAAATTTCACAACAAAAGGCAGAGATGCTTCACTATTGAATTTTGACCATGTTGATAAGGAAAATATACATCAGTGCAAAGAACAGAGCTGAAAGACAGCTATGTTTTCTCATAGCTGCTGCTATCGGAGCTGTTAAGAATTTAACAATACAGACACTATTTTAAACCTCACAAGCAGAAATGAGTCAAGTAATGCTCCCCTCAGTAAAGCAACTTGCATATTTCAAGAATACCAAGCAAAACAAGTTATTATCTGTAATTTGTGGAAATATATAAGGGATCTCAGGCAGAAATTCACAATAAAGAGCAGGAGTATGGTTCCTGCTGCACTGTCACTTTTGCTAGGACAACCTATTTAAAAAATATTTCCCAAGACATTACAAGCTGCATGTCATCCAGTTCTCTGTTTTTCTTCAAAAACAGGATGGAAAACTCTACCCTATCATTAGAACTCCTCCATAGGCACAGGTGTAATTATCAGAACCAAACTTGCGTTTTCACAGCCACTCTGTAAATGCATATTGCCTCATCACTGCGAATGCATATGAAATGTATCAAGTCATATTTGTATCTTCCTCCTCACAATTTAATATATCTACAGAAACACCCCACTGCGAGGATGTAGAGAACATGTGAAGGTATGTAAGTAAGTGTTTTGGATTGGTCCCAGCTGTTTGGAGCCTCATTGGATATGCTGCACATGGACATACAGACAACATTAGATAAGGAAAGAAATGATGTGACTTCGTGCGAGGTATTCTTCTTCACTTGAAAGAAAAAAAAAGAAAAAAGAAAAAAGAAAAAAGAAAGAAAGAAAGAAAAAAGGAACATTCAGTCCCTATTTCTTAACTGAGAATCTCCAGAATGTAGGTAACCTATGATTGCCTCAGTACCTTGTCTACTCCAGGGTTATTAAAAAGAGTATGTATGCCAATTTTGGGGTAGGGGGTGAAAAAGTGCATAGAACACTGCTGATCACATTTATGTGCCAGATCAATCCTTTCACCCTTTTTGTATTATTTCATTCTGTCTGCAATACATAAAATAGAAGGAAATTCAAACTTGTACCATGCTTAGAAGCCTTAAGATGCAGTTATAGCAATGTAGTGTCTAATAGCAGTGCATGATGTGATCACCAGGTGTAACAAAGCAATCTCACAATTTAGACAATATGGTATTGATCATAAGGCTTTCTATTATAATTCTGTACTGCAAAGTGTATCTAGTAATTCAGTGCCAAATACTAAAAGAGGAAAATAGCTATTGATTAAATAGCTGAAAATTTAAAAGGCAGAATAGATTTTTACATTTGTCATTTCTTACATTTGTAAGGATATGTCCCCATTCATGCAGGTTCCTGGGGTTTATGTAAATGCCCACTCTGCTACTAAGTTTATAAACCATAAAAATTGGTTTCTTAGCTTGCAGAGGTGAAAGCTAAAGCATTCCTGAATCTCTTTATCCTGCAGATTTTCAGATGTTCAGGTTAGTTTGTTTGCTCTCCCAGGTAGTACTGCCTTCACTTTCAGTAACTTGGGTACTCAGCAGTAGGAAATCTGACATAGGTCATAGTAATAAATGTTGGAAAGTGATGACATGCTTTTGGTGAGCTGCAGTATTGTTGTGAATGGGTCTGGGTAGATGATGTCTTTTAATGTATGATAATAGAATTCAATTACATTAACGTAAAGAGCATAAGGATAGCTGAGTGGATGAGACCAAAGTTCTATCTAATTTGGAGGCTTGCCTTGGATGGCAAAAAGCAGTGTGTAAGTAGGAAAAGTTTGCACGAAACAAGAAGGCCAAAAAGATCAAGATGTGGCCCCTCAGCTTCCAGAAATCAATCTCTGAGTGACTTTAGGTGCTAAGCATGTGCTGGGCATTTAATATTTAATAACCACTATAACCAATTTGTACTTATGGC